GAAGCAACAGAGGTCACACCCTATCATTATGCTGAGAATTATCCAACATCTATATTACCTTTCAGATCTTTTAAACCTTGACCTTTAGACTACAAACCACCATTATTCAATACTTGTCACCTATGCTTCTGATGACCTTGATTTCTACTCAGATCTCCATCCCTCGCATTATTCTTCATATCCATCTCTAGAATTGTTGTTCCCTAACATATCATCATCTAGATCTCTCCTCAGATATCTGTATTTTTCTCTTCCTGCTTTGTTGGATCTCCCTAGATCCCTAGCGCCTCCAAACTTTCTATTATCCTATTCCACCCTCGGTGGTGTAACATGGAGCCCTAATATCGGCTCAGAAAGTTCACTGTCAAGCTCTTGAAGGGGGGAGGGGAATGCTAGCTATTTTAGTAACTGAAAGCACTAGAAAGTATATATACAGAATCTGTATTTGCCACACCCTCCCAAATCCCACATGGGGCATCCAAGTGGCCCATGAGCATCATCAGGCACTATGGGAGCCCTAGGCCTTAGCCTGCCAGAACAAAATATGCTTCCTCCTGGCATAGCATTTTCACATTACAATTATACAAAGAAGTGCAGGACTAATTTTTCACAAGAATCCCCGATTTAACTTGAATTATTATCATATAGATGAACACCATCTCAGAAAACATGAGGTTCAATATTACCCACTTGACGACCCACATCTTGTGTTCTTCGGTATTAATACGGTTTCTGTTTGTTTAGCTTGTCTCGTACTGGTATCAAAGAAAGACAACTCTCAAATGGATTTGCTGGTCTATGATGATCAACTAGAAGCATCTGTTCCACATAGGCGCTTTTTTATAGAAGCATAGGTGCAAGCTCTTCTCAAATGAATTCTGCTTATCACGAGCCAAGGAATAGGAATACCGCCCCTGATCTGTATTTCAAAAGCGGATTCAGCATTCCAAGAAATATAATTATGCATAGACTGACTTGTAAAGCCTCCACGACAAAAGCATAAGAAGTTGTTACCAGATTAAGCAAACAGAAACGGTTTGATCCCGGTAGCCAATTTGAAAGGGGGTAGGAATGACTTTAGTAGTGAGAGTGTGTGTGCTAGTTACAAAAGAAGTGTGGGACGGTGTGGGAAGTGAGGGATGTCCTTCCTGGGTATCACGAGTGGTGAGGCAGGTACAGTTGGAGGAAAAGCACTGAAATCAATCCTCACTTGTATTAACTTCATGAGTGAAGATATAGAGAAACGCTCAATATCGGCACTGCTCCTATCAAAATCAAATAATTGGATTTGTTTCCCCACTGCCTCCATGGGATTCGTACATTAGATGAGGATTCCTACTCCCCTGACAAATCAGAAATTGCACTACAATACCCAACAACAAAGGATCTGAGTTCATTAGTTGTTCTAACTTGGATTTTAATTATCCTTGATCTTGAATTGATGTTCACAATTCGCACTCCACTAGAACGTGAAGGTGAATGCAAATATTTCGATGGGGGTGCAAAACTTACTTGCAGAAACCCACGAGATCTTAGCATCCTTGTGTGAATCATCCACGACAAGTAACCACAAGCAGTTACCGGCATGGGAGACCCATACTCCGCGGCCGCGGAGCAAGCGAGGTTGAGCAGGCAAGCAGAACGACGAGGTACGAAGACCGTCTTGGCATGCAAACCACCTCCCTGGCCTTCTTCTTCCACGCCATGGCCCCGTCGTTGTTGATCAGAATCAGCATATTCCGAGTCCTCCTCGTCGGCAGCGCCATCACCACTGCCACCATATCCTCCTCCGGACCAGGAGGAGCTCATATGCGGGGTCAAAACACCACCCTCTTCCACCGCAACACTTGATCTGCAGATTTCGTCTCCTCCATGGCCCAAAGCACGATCTCGATTGGATACTTTGCTTTTGCCATCGGTGAACAACCTCCCGT